GAAGAAATAAAAGGCACCCAAATTGAAAAGGAAAAAGGAAAACGGTTATTATTTGCAGATGACATGATATTCTATTTAGAGAACCCTGAAGATTCCACCAAAAAACTACTAGAACTGATAAATGCATTCAGTAAAGTAGCAGGATACAAAATAAATATCCAGAAATCAGTTGCATTTTTATATACCAATAATGAACTATCAGAAAGGGAAATTAAGAAAACAATCCCATTTACAACTGCATAAGAATAAAACACCTAGAAATAAGTTTAACCACGGATGTAAAAGACCTGCACTCATAAAAATTATAAGACACCGAAAAAAGCTGAAAAAGATGAAAATAAGTGGAAGCATAAACCATGTTCATGATAGGAAAACATCATTAAAATGTCCATAGTACCCAAAGGAACCTATAGATTCAAAGTAATTCCTATCAAGAGACCAATGATGTATTTCAGAGCCAGAAAAAAATATTCCAAAAACTTACATGGAACCACACACACACAAAAAAACCCAAATAGCCACTGCAATCTTCAATAAGAGGAACAAAGTTTGAGGAATCATGCTACCTGGTATCACACTATACTACAAGGGCACAGTAAACAAAACAGCATGGTACTGGCATAAAAACAGACATATATAGACCAGTAAAACAGAATAGAGAGCCCAGAAATAATCCCACGACTTTATGGACAAATAATTGTCATAGAAAGGCAAGAACATACAGTGAGGTAAGGAGAGTTTATTCAATAAATGATGTTGGGAAACTGGATAGAGGTTTGCGAAAAAGTAAAACAAGACAACTTCTTATAACATATGCAAGAATAAATTCAAATGGATTAAAAGCTTAAATGTTAGACTTGAAAGTATAAAAATCCTAGAAGAAAACATAGGCAGTAAAATCTTGGACATTTCTTGTAGCAATACTTTTTTTCCTGATATTTTGCCTCAGGCAAGGGGAAAAACAATAAACAAACAATAAGACTACATCAAACTAAAAAGTTTTTGCACAGCAAAGGAAACCATCAACAAAATGAAAAAACAACCCAGTGAATGGGAGAATACGTTCGCCAATAATACATCTGATAAGGAGTTACTATCCAAAATTTATAAAAAACTTATACAATGCAACACCAAAAACAAATGAACAAACAATCCAATTTAAAAAATGGGCAGAGGACAAAGAAGACAAAGAGATGGCCAAGAGACACATGAAAAGATGCTCAATATCACTTAACATCAGAGAAATGTAAATTGAAATCACAATGAGATTATCACTTCCCATCTGTCAGAATGGTTATCATCAATAAACAAACAAGTGTTGGCAAGGATATGGATAAAAAGGAAACCTAGTGCACTGCTGGTGGGAATGCAGATTTGTGCAGCCACTGTGGAAAGCAGTAGGGAGTTACCTCAAAAAATTAAAAAAGAAACAGCCTAATCAACCCCCATTCCACTTCTGGGCAAGAAACTGAAACACCTATTCAACCGTTCAATAGAATTGCCCTGACCAGTGTGTCTCAGCTGGCTGGGTGTCGTCCTGAAAGCGAAAGGTCACCAGTTTGATTCCTAATCAGGACACATGCCTGGGTTGCATGACTGGTCACAGTCAGGCTACATAGGAGAGGTAACCGACCAATGCTTCTCTCTTATATCAATGTCTCTCTACCTCTCTTCCTACCCTCTCCTGCCCTCCAAAAACAAACAAAAAAACCCCACCCCTATGTTCTATGTTCACTGCAGTATTATTTATAATAGCCAAGATTTGGAAGAAGCCCAAGTGTCCATCAGTAGATAAGTTGATAAAAAAGCTATATGCAATGGAATACTTACTACTGGACCATAACAAGAGAAGGAATTCTTAACTTTTGCAACAGCATAGATGGACCTGGAGAGTATTATACTAAGTGAAGTAAGTCAGAGAAAGACAAGCACCATATGATTTCACTTATATGTGGTGTCCAATGAACAAAAACAAAACAAAAAAAAACACCCTAACAAAACAGAAACAGACGCACAGATACAGAGAACAGACTGACAAATGTCAGAGGGGAGGCAGTTTGGGAGGCTGGGTGAAAAGGATAGAAAGATTAAGAAAAAAAAAAATCACAACAATAAGGTGATTGGTGGGGCGGGGGTGCTGGCTGGTAGAAGAGTGTAAAGGAAGAATATATGGTGATGAAGTGGACCTTGACTTTGGGTGGTGAACACACAATACAAAATACAGATGACGTATTATAGAATTGTACACCTGAAACCTATATAATTTTAACCAATGTCACTCCAATAAATTCAAATAAACAAACCAACCCAAACATAAGGTACTAATTGCATTTTATAGGCCTATAAATTTTCATGGATCATAGTTTAAAAGTGTACAAGAAATTAACTAAACACCCTTAAAATATCTAGTCTTCATGAGAGAAATAGCAAAATTAGAAATGCTCACTAATATTTTCTATTGTTTGAAGAACCAAAAGCTAGTAAAATTGAACTCAGACTACCTAACACAGATGACAGTAGAAAAACGGGATTTAAAAGCTTTCTACATAGCAATATTTGATAGGATAAAAAAGTTCAAAACTAGAGGTGAGTAGATTGATAGCATACAAAAATTACATAGATATTAAGACTATTTATTTTTAAAAATGTGTTTTTTACCCAATAACTTAAGTCTGAAAACCACCATCTTCCCATTTATAAATTCAAATTTTAAGTAAATGAATTAAATATAAAGGAGTGTTTGTATATCCATCCTCCTTGTTTTTAAAAAAAATGAGTATGACACTTGTTGAATAGAAATGATAAATTCAGAAACCCTGCAGAGATCCTATGACAGTTTTCAGATCTTAAGGAAAGAAACTTCTTGAACCATTTCGTTACTAAAAGAGCCCTTTTCTTTATCAAGAACTTAAAATGCTTTAAAGATGTTTCAGTCTCTTCTGGGTGGAAGAGACTATCAGTTACTTCCGTTTACACAAAAAGATTCAAGTCACTCTCAAATACTCTAAGTATAAGTAAATGACGTATTGACCATTATCATTCACTAATTTGGTCTTCTTTTGATTCTCCGTTCTATAGTCAAAGGTCTTCAGACAGAAGGACCAATCAATTGTACATGATATGGTACTTTTATTCTAGAAACTATGCCATGTTGTACAAATTAAACTCCTGAAATTTTTGTATAATCTTTTGACTGGCAGTTAAACTTCCATAGTATCTATCTTTCTATCTATCCATCCATCCATCCTTACCCAAGGATATGTTTATAGATTTTCAGAGAGAGAGGGCTGAGTCCCATACATGCCGTGATGGGGAGTCAAACCCACAACCCTTTTGGCATACAAGATGATGCTCCAACCAACTGAGCCACTTGGGCAAGGTGATCATTTTTTAAAATGAAGATAAATCTCAATGTACATAAGCAGAGGCCTGATTAAATAATAAAGGAACATAATGATAGAGTATTATGCAGCTATTAAAAATGACGCTGCAAAAGAACAATACGTTAAGTGAAAAATGGGGGCATAAGTCAGCACACAGCAAAATTTTTTGTTAAATACATATACATATATTTATATATAAATGTTAACTATGGTTCTTAGATATACATAAATGTTAACCACGGTTCTCTCTACATAGATGCATTATAGGTGACTTAATTTTCTTCACATATAGCTGTGGGTTCAAAACCTGCATAAATTAAAAAATTATCATGTATACTTATATAAAATATACCAGAAAAACATAAATAATAGTTTACTAATTATTAGAAGAAAATGAGGTATTTACAACATTGAATGGGTGGCACAAAGAAGCTAAAAAAAAGATACTTTTACTGTTTCCCTGGAGCAAAGCTATTTTTCTTAAGGAGATTAAACTTCTAGAATATAGCCATTCTCAAATAAATACAAAAATGTATATTCAAATGTAGAAGATTGTAACTGTGGAGTTTCTTCATATCTTTAATTAATGTACCTCTTCTCTTGCCACTTAGGAGAGAAGTGAAGGTCTGAAAACAATACTTGAGGACTGTAAATAATGAGAAGCTGGTAACAAAATCAGATCTTTTAAGTACTCGATTTGTATCCGGATAATCAATAAACCTATTACTTAGGTTTGCTTCCCCTGCTATTAACAATATTTTTTTTTAGTTTCAATAAATAAATGAGGCATTTTAAAAATTAAAGTGTTTCCTGTCATCAAACTAGTACTTTAAAATCCAGTGATAATTCCTTTCTAGTAACTAAGCAAGTTTCATCTTTACATGAAATATATTAAGGTACTTAGTAATCTTTTCTAATAAAGCTCTGTAAACACAATTTGAGTTCTACTTCTCAGAGAGCATGCTACTATTAAAAGATGATTGAATGTGCACATTTAATAGGAACAACATACTGGACCTCAGCTATTACCTTAAAATATTTTTTATACCTTTATTTTACTTTCTAATGGGGTTTTTTACTCTATATAAACAGAACTGGGTCTTTTGTCTTAGTCATACATAGCTGGATTATTATTAGCATTACTTATAATAAAGTTTAATACCTTCACTAAATTATATTCAATAGAGAGCTACAATTCAAGGTTAGTACCTTTATTACTTGCCATCAGTAAGTCAGATAACAATATATGGGCCTACTGAAAAAGTTACATCTTCTTGAAACCTTATTAATTCCCAAATTAAATAATGGGAATTTTAAAAACTGTATACACGTTTCTTTATTTTTAATCTGCTAAGAGAAAAGGAACTGGATTTCTAAATTGACTAAATATTTCAACTTTAAATCAAGACAAATTAAAAAAATTAAAATCCACCAAAGGCATGTATGGAACACTTTAGTCAACCAGTCTAAATAAATTGGTGCAAATTATTCAGGACCATTTCCTCTCACTTTAACTGCCACCATACATTTAGATACATACATTCCATATATATTATTTAATAATGTATCTTGAAGGGCTAGAATTTCTCCCATCCCCATAATTCTGTATCATCTTACCCCATTCCGTGCCATCCCCTGAACTCCTTGCTTCTCCAGCTCCTTCACCATCTTCAGCAGTCACTAAAAAATCAAATTCTTTCAGTGCTTCCTCAGTATCAGGATCGTCAGTCAGGTCAGCAGCTAAACCTTCATTACCTATCTGTAAATGAAACATAAGCCAATAATTACTTTTACTCTAAATTTTAAAGGGGTTCTTTATGTTTTCACTCCCACTTTTAAATTAACTTAGGTATAAAAGTTTAGATTTTCTATGTAGTTCACCAATCCCAGACCACTGTAAGATGTCATGCAAATAATGTGGTAGTAAAAAGTATTAAAATGCAATGACCAGGAAGAGTTAACCTGATTACTTGTAATATATTCACAATTACTCTTTTAAAGGCCCATTCACTCACTCACATTGGTATGTTATGCTGAATTGCCCTCACACTCTTAGAACTGAGTATGCAGTCCATAACTTACAGATATATGACACACTAATAAGTATATTAACTCATGTATGTCAATAGCTATGGTAATTATAATAGGACTTTACCTCCCAGAACAAAAAAAAAAAAAAAGGAATGAAGTAAAATGTCTATTCACCCATGTTACACACATTGAATGTTACAAATATGAAATATGAAACTGCCGGTCAGGATGGAAATGCTTTGCCTTCTCGCACAATCATAGAATGAATAGCAACCAGATTCAAAACTGGAACACCCAGAAGTGTCAGAAAATCGAGCTGTATGAAAGTCCAACAACCAGGAATTTAAAGACACATTCATACAGACAGGTAGGAGGGTGGAGTCACAGAGAAGGGCAGAGAGACAGTGTGGTAAGGAAAAGTGGTGGCGGTGGTAGGGAAGGGACACTTTCAGAGCCAATGATGCCAGCCCCAGGCCGCACAGCCCAAGGTTCCAGCATCAGGAAAATATATACCCATTATCTCTAGCTGTAAAAACCAGTGGGTGCTGGGGCGGCAGAAGAAAATGATGGATTTTCACCACTTAAAGAGCTAAGAGGGTGTCAGAATGTACACAAACCCACCCACTCTGTGATTCACCACTGGGGCAGGAGCTGGAAGGGTGCCAGGCGTATGAGAAGGGGGTAAAGGGATGGGAAATGGAGCAGATGCCAGGTGAACAGCCAGAAGCCAGGGGGCAGCACTGTCCTCTCTCAAAGCCCTCCCCAAATAGCCACAAAACTGTGAAGCAGGTGCCTTGCCCTGGCATTACCTAAGGCTCTGCCCCACACAATTTACAGATGCCTTTTCAACACAGGCCATGGTACTGAGACACAGAGTAAAAGCAGCTCTACATAATACACAGAAACAAACAGAGGGAGGCTGCTAAATTGAGGAGAAAAAGAAAAATGGCCCAAATGAAAAACAAACCAAACCCCAGGAATGTAACTAAGTGAAATGAAGATAATCAATCTATCAGATGCAGAGTTCAAAACACTGGCTATCAGGATGCTCAGAGAACTCCTTGAGTATGGCAAAAAAGTAAAAGAAGAAATGAACATTACAATAAGTGAAATAATCCACAGGAAACCAACAGAGAAGGAAAGTAAGATGGGATCCAAATCAACAGTTTGGAATATAAGAAAGAAACATTCAACCAGAACAAAAAGAAGAAACAAGAATTCAAAAAAAAACAAAACAAAACGAGGATAGGCTCAGGAACCTCTGGAACATCTCCAAACATACCAACATCCGAATTATAGGGATGCCAGAAAGAGCAAAGATGTAACAGGAAATTGGAAACTTATTTGAAAAAATAATAAAGGAAAACTTCCCTAATTTGCTGAAGGAAACAGACATACAAGTCCAGGAAGCACAGAGCGTCCCAAACAAGTTGGACAGAGAGAGGACCACACCAAGACATATCATAATTAAAATGCAAAAGGTTAAAGACAAAGAGAATCTTAAAAGTAGCAAGAGAAAAACAGCAAGTTACCTACAAAGGAGTTTCCTTAGAACTATCAGCTGATTTCTCAAAAAAACAACAAACCAAACAACCAAACCTTTGCAGTCAAGAAGGGATTGGCAAGAAGTATTCAAAGTGGTGAAAAGCAAGGACCTACAACCTAGATTACTCTATCTAGCAAAGCTATCATTTAGAATGGAAGAGCAGATAAAGTGGTTCCCAGACAAGTTAAAGCTAAAAGAGTTCATCACCACAAACCATAATTACAGGAAATGTTAGAGGGACTTATTTAAGAAAAAGAGGATCAAAACCATTAACATTAAAAAGGTAACAAATTCACAACCATCAACAAATGAATCTAAAAAACAGAACAAACCTCAAACTAAGCAAAAAACCAGAACAGGAACAGAATCATAGATATGGAGATCATTTGGAGGGTTATCAGCTGGGAGGAGGAAGGGGAAGAATGGGGAAATGGTGCAGGGATTAAGAAGCATAATTGGTAGGGACCAAACAGACAGGGGGAAGTTAAGAACAGCACTAGAAATGGAGAAGCCAGAGAACTCATATGCAAGACCTATGCACAGAACTAAAGGAAGGAATTGCTGGAGAGAAGGGGAGTAGTAGCCAGAGGACAGCAGGAGGGAAAATTTGGTACAACTGTAATAGCATAATCAATAAAATATAATAAAAAGAGAAATATAAAAAAAAAAAAGAAATGTAGCAAAAAGGTTAAAAACAACTTTTATAAGCTGGAAACTTCTGAGAAGCACTGCATTTTTCCCACATCACTGTAACATCCCAGAGAACTACAAACTGAACCTACGTGCTTTTTTTTTAACATATCTGAAATACCATATATAACTATGATAATTCACAAATGGATTGTCCAAAAAGACTTTTGCTCCTATTGGTAACCCACATCACCACTAAAATAGATAAACCTGTTTCTTAGGTTACAAGCAAAAGTAAATTATTGATTCTTAACCAAAGAACGAAAATGTCAAACATACACATTTATATCCACACTTTACTCCCTCACCCAGGGTGGGAGTATCCCCACTGAAGCTTTAGTTAATATATCACCTATTTACTGCACATAAAGAGAAAGACTACAGTAGAGGTTCTTAATTGTGGCAGAAGTGAAGAGAGAATTGTTTTAAAAAAATGTTTCACACAACTGGACTAGTCCTATAATAAAAAACCCTTTCTTGTCATTTAGTGACTAATACAGCAAATAATTTCTACTGTATGTAACTCAGTTAGACATGATATATAAAACTTCCAAGTGACATAATGAAATATGTAATGGTCACTCCCAATTTAACTTAAGACATCTCAAAAATTTCTATTCAAAATATGTGAGTATATATATTTTAGCTAATAATAGAAAATTGAGTTCCTACTTTGTGTTTATTCATCCGATGTTTGTCTTTTCCTTCTGTAATGCCTTCAATCATGTCATTTTCCTCTTCTTCATCACTGTCATCAGCATTTTCTAAGAAATTGAATGTCTCAAGAACATCACCAGAAGGCCTGTAAGAGAGGAAAAAGATGAAATCAAATATTCCACTGGTTATTTCTAGTATTTCTTTCTGGTAGTAGAGAGATTCAAATGACAACCTATTTATAATGTATTGCCTAAATATTTTACTCATGAAAAGAACTCTGTAAGGTTATTTACATTCTACAATTAAAAGTGACTGTTCTCTTTTGATTTTCTCCAATGATTATTGTCCAAAATACTTTAAGTAAATACTGCATCAAAAGAAAATTCTATAGTATTAGACACTCAAATGTGCTATTATTTCTCAAAATAAACCCATCAAAAGCAACATAAACTTAGCATTTCTTATGACTCTACAACCTCTTATAGCTTGGCCCAAATGTATGAGGACTAAAACCAAAGTTTAATTTATCAGGCTGCCCTGATATCAAGTTATACTAAACCATTTTTAGAACCTTCCAATATGTTTCACAGATTTTCTCACCTAGAAAAATGGGATCCTTAACATACTGAAGAAATACTTTCAAGTCTTTCAAAACCACTCATTTAAAAGGTAATAGTGATAATCTATCTTTATCTACTTACAAGTCATTTTTTAAACTATAATCTGATTCCCTCCTTTATTTACAAAAACATTTTTCAAATAGTCGTCTAAATGTTAAACAGAGGCAGCAACATAACAGTGGAAATTTCAGCTAAACACAGACTCTCACAATGAGTCTTTGCTTTTCCATTAACTAAGTTGCCTAAACTTAGCCAAGTCACTTAAACCTTTTGACTTCAATTTCTCTAGAGGTAGGGGGAAAAAATGCAGGGAGTTCAACTAGATGATCTCAAATGTCCTTATCAACACTAAGAGTGTATGGCAACTAAAAGAATAATCATCTAAAATTTAGTTTTCTTCTTCCCTGGTTGGTTCCATGAGTTCAAACTATGGAAACAATTCAGACTATTTTTTAATAACACTTTAACATGGCATAGGGTTTTAATAGATCTACTAATTCTGCCTAATTCAGCACATTTTTAATGGACCTGTATAAATACTGAATACAAAAAAGAGGTGGTGTTTCCAAATTAGTAAAAACAAACACAAACCTACCACAACAACAAAACACACTTTTCAGCTCAGCATTTATAATTTATGTTTAATATCTGAGAACTAAAATTAAAAGCAAAGAAATAGTCAACAACAAAAAATAGAATATATAGTAGTAAGGTACAGTAGTAAGTCCTTATTTAATATCGTCCACAGGTTCTGCAACTTTCAGGAAACTGAAATATGAAACCAATTTTATCAAAGGTTAATTGATATAAACAACAGTTAAGTGCCTACAGCAACTCATCAACGTTATAGCAAAACAACATTGAAGGAAATGATGTTATTTGAGGACCTGCTGTAGTTAATTTAAGATATGAAAATTTTGTTTTGAACTTTAATAAATTCTGTCTCAAAAGAACTCATGTTTTAGGTATTAAAATTGTATTTGATCACAGCAATATATGTGCATGACTTTAAAAGTCAAATAGAGCACCATCCATGAAAGAAAGAACTGATGAATCAGATGTCCCAAAATTAAAAACTTGCTGTTTGAAAGACACAGATATAGAATCTAAAGACAAGCCCACAGACTGGGAGAAAATATTTACAAGTCACGTATTTGATGAAGGACTTGTGTCTGGAATAGACTAATAACACTCAAATCTCAACCATAACAAACAATAAAAGTGGGGACATTATTCTATTAGACACTATCAAAAGATACATGAATGGTATAAACAGATACTGAATATCACTGGACTTTAGGAAAATAAAAATTAAAGAACTATGCACTGTAATGAGCCTAAGACTTGACTCTACAGACATGCTAACATGCTATTACTTTTGCGTTGTTTTTCATGTTCATGATGTTAGACTTTGTATGGATTTTTCCCCCCCCCCATTACTCTTATAGTGCACTTGAGAAGGAAATGAGAAGGAATCCTTTCAATCCAGGAAAAAATAATCCTTGGAAATACAGTCTGTAAATAAATTCCAGAAAATTTTCTTTTATTACTAATCTAATACTCTTTTCAATACCATTTGATCTTTCTGAAAGTCCTAGTCAGATACTGGCTCTCCTAGACTGATTTTGAGTTTTCCCAGCTTTCCCGTCCTTTCCCTTTTCTGGGAAGAGTCCTTCAATCTTACCTTTCAAGTTTTACATAAAAATTATGTGCATCACGCCTTTTTACATAGAAATTATGTGCATGGAGCTCTTTTCTGACCTCCAATTAAATCTTTTCAAATAACATCCTGTTTGTTTTGTAGATGTATTCTCTCAGTCCTCTCAAAGATTTTAAATATATATTTTATTGATTATGCTATTACAGTTGTCCCATTTTTTTCTCCCCTTTATTCCCCTCCACCCTGCACCCCACTCCCACAGGAATTCCCTCCCCAGCCTTACTTCACGCCCATGGGTTGTACATGTAAGTTCTTTGGCTTCTTCATTTTTTATATTATTCTTAACCTCCCTCTGTCTAATCTGTACCTATCATTCATGTTTCTTACTCCCTGTACCTTTTTCCTCATCCCCCCTACTCCCACTCCCCGCTCTGATCTCCATTTCTGTGATTCTGTTCTTGTTCTAGTTGTTTGCTTCGTTTTTGTTTTTGGGTTCAGTTGTTGATAGTTGTGAGTTTGTTGTCATTTTACTGTTCATAGTTTTTGATCTTCTTTTTCTTATATAAGTCCCTTTAACATTTCATATAATAAAAACTTGGTGATGATGAACTATACTATTCTTAACCTTCCCCTGCCTATTTTGTACCTACTATTTATGCTGCTTGTTTTGTTTTGAAGTTTGTACCTTTCCCCCCATTCTTCCTCCTCCTCTCCCCTCCCCTCTGTTTCACTGTTCAGTTTTTGGTCTTCTTTTTCTTAGGTAAGTCCCTTTTTAACATTTCATATAATAAGAGCTTGGTGATGAACTCCTTTAACCTGACCTTCTCTGGGAAGCACTTTATTTGCCCTTCCATTCTAAACGATACCTTTTCTTAATAGAGTAATCTTGGATGTAGGTCCTTGCCTTTCATGACTTTGAATACTTCTTTCCAGTTAAGGTACTGGAAGTAGCTTATACAGTTACTTAAAACAAATTCTATAATTTGCAAGTTAACATAAGCCTTTTGTTTAGGCATTTTATTTCTGAGAAATAGGGTTTCTAATAAAAACAATTTAACATCTAATAGAGCCCTTATTTTTTTTACTCTCGATTCCAGGAAGCACAGAATGTTTTTTGTAGCATAAGAGGAAAAGAAAAAGTATTTTGAATTTTTAACTAAAGTTACTAACCAAGCTAAGTAGTTCATAAGGTTTATAAATATTTTAGAGATTACTGTACCACATAGGAATATGAATTTAAGATCAACAACAGACTGTATCTTCTCCTTGTAAAGCTTCTTGCCTTTGCAAGATAAAGACTATAATAAGTGTTTTTTTTCCTCTTGTGGTAAAAACCACATAATATGAGTTCTTCCCTCTTAACAAATTCTTCAAGTGTATAGTGTAGTGTTGTTAACTATAAGTGCAATGTTGTAGAGCACATACATCTCTAGGACTTTCTTAACTTGAATGATTAAAATTTTATACTCATTGACGTCCTGGCTGGTGTGGTTCAGTGGACTGAGCGCCAGCCTGTGAAATAAAATTTTATATTCATTGAATAGCAATCCCCTACTTCCTCCACCATTCAACAGAAAATATATCTAAAATATGAAATAATGCATTTATATTAATTTCTTAAACTCTAAATGAAATCAATGAATTTGATTTCTTTTTTATCCACATCCTCTCTTTCTTTTCTTTGTCCTTCCAACTTACATTATTCAACATAATATATGGTAAATATATTATGGTAAAGCTAATGGTAAAAAATGAAAAAGTTCTACCTGCTTGATTACTTGCATTTATCCAGACTGTATTAATCAAAAGTATAACTGACAGACAGGAAACAAGTGTTGTCAAGAATGTAAAGAAATCAGAACTCATAAATATCTGATGAAAATGTTAAACAGCACAGCCACTTGGTAAAAGTTTGGAAATTCCTCAGAAAGGCCAACAGAGTCTCTATATGACTCAGCAATGCCACTCCTAAGTATATACCCAAAAGAAATGAAAATACGTCCACGTTTGTATATCAATGTTCAATGCAGCATTATTCATTATTCCAAACTGTGGAACCAACACACATGTTCATCAACTGGACAAGGAATGGATGAACAAAATGTGATATATACACAGTACAGAGTATTATTTGGCAATAAAAAGAAATAAACTACTGACATGTGCTATAACACAGATGACCCTTACAAATATGCTAAATGAAGCAATTCACAAAATAACTATTTATATGAACTGTCAAGAATAGGCAAACCTTTATAAACTGAAAGTTGATTAGTAATGTTGTCTAGGGTTGAGGGGGTAAGTGGAATATAGGAGAGTATGGGGAATGACAGTTAATGAGCATGGTATTTCTTTTTAGGGAAAGGAAAGTTTTTAAAACTCATATTCTGTTGGTAGCTGAACTATCATAAAAACCATTAAACTATATACTTTAAATGAAATTTATGGTATGTGAATCATATCTCAATAGAGACATTAAAAAAAAGAACATCTTATAACTTTCTGAGCTGAAAGAAAATGCAAAGCCTTGCTCCTTTCACGTTAACATCTAAATAACCATTGTTACTCTGCAGATAGAGTAGCGTTATAATTTTCTGAAAATACTCCAGCAAAGATTTAAAAAATAAGGATGTTAAAAATAACTCTGAACTACATAAAATCACCCTCAAATTTTAATTCTACACCTATTTCAAAAATACAGTCATTCTCATGGCATCAAGTTTTAAGACAGATACATTTAAAAAGTACCTAAATGGAAAATTTAGCCCTGGCTGGGTAGCTCAGTTAGAGCTTCATCCCAACCTGCCATTGTTGCAGGTTCGATCCCCAGTCTGTGAAAATACAAGAATCAACCAATGAATGCTTAAATAACTTAAGAACAAATTATTGTTTCTTTTGCTCTCTTTCCCTCTCCCTCCATTTCCCTTTCTCTAAAATCAATAAATTAAAAAAATTTAAGAAAAGAAAATTTATTTGCACATGGTACCATTTAGGGAGAGAAAAGTCTTTACATGTGAACACTACCCGTTTTCAAAACTGTTAACAGTAGTAGCAAGAAGCTAAAGAGATTCATAATACCCATTGTATATACAATGTTAACCTACAAGTATAGACCATACCTCTTGATTTCTTGTCCTTTTTGCTTAGGAGATTCACCTCCATTCAGGATCTGTTCTAAATTCTTTGTTTCTACTGATCCATTTGGTTCTGAATTGGACAGTCCAAGTAATGACCTTACCCGCTGAGACCGTACATCTAATATGGTATCTGTGTAACCTACTTCCTGAAGATATCTATAAGAGAAAATTAAAAATATTAAATAAACCTCACACATTGTTAACACCTGTAAATTGGTTAACTCAAAATTCTATCAAAGGATTTTAGAAAAACCCATCATCCAATAAAATATACTCCTCCTCTACCTCAATAACTATCTTCTCTTAGACTAGTTCCAGTTTTAAGAGGGCAAGGCCAATTACAAACCAAAATTTAATTTTGAAAACAAACAGTACAGTCAACACTAATCAAGAGCCAATTACTGAAACCTAAAAAGCCCTAGAACCTTAAAAGGCTTCTCGGAGTTGATGATGTGTATATATATTTTTAAAAATATATGAAGTGGTAAGGAATGAGTAGAACTAAACCTCAGGATAGTGACATGCTAAGTTTAAACCAACATTCTTGGCCAGAGGTAGATGGACAGGTCAGTTCTCTTCCTGGGATCTAATATCTCACTGCATTCCTGTCATCCAGTGGTCCTCGAATTTTCTGTATATCTAAACCAGAGTACTTAATCCAGGATCCAGAAAGACAATGAAAAAGTAGAAAAGTACCAAATTATGACATAAATATAGATGATAGGTCATGAATGGCTTTTGTGTGACAAATTTAAAGATTTCTTCCTGTCGTGCCTGGGTAGCTCAGTTGGTTTAGAGCACTGTCCCATACACCAGAAAGATGGGGGTTCAGGCCCTGGCTGGTATGGCTCAGTGGACTGAGCACTGGCCTGTGAACCAAAGGGTCGACGGTTCGATTCCCAGTCAGGGCACAAGCCTGGGTTGCGGGCTAAGTGCCCCAAGGGGTGGTTACCTCAAGGGCAACCACAAATTGATGTTTCCCTCCCTCTCTTCTTCCCTTCTCCTCTGTCTAAAAATAAATCTATGAATAAATCTTAAAAAACTAAAAATAAAAATGTGGGTTCAATCCCCAGTCACGGTCTATACAGGAAGCAACTGATCGATGTTTCCACCTCACATTGATCAGTCTCTCTCCCACCCTACCCACCTCCCTTCTCTCTTAAGAAAACAAAACCAAACCATATTCTTGGGTGAGACTTAAAAAAATATTTTTAAAATTTCTTTCTAAAGCATTTGATAGGCTCAGGAACGTTAAAAAGGAGCCTCATGTATCGCTGGCAGAAGAACAAAAGATTTTTACTTGAAAGCTAGGGAGACTAGACTGGTTAGGATACTACACAGCAAGAAGTAAAACTGGAGAAGGGAAAAATAAGCAAAATATAATCTTAGTGACTTGGTACACTAGTAAACATGGCATTAGAATAAAAAAAGAATTTTGGAAATTTTTCAGGTTTCTACCTTGTATTACTGGTGTTTCTTTCTATTCAATGAAATGAAAAATGATCAGAATCTGGCTTAGAGGGTACTTATCAGATAACCATGCAGTGCCTACGAAAGTGACAATGTTTATTAGGCACAATGATAAGAAACGTCAAAAGCTCAAAAGACTGGACTAGGTATACAGATTTGGGAATCATTAGTGTTTGGAGCCCTGAATTTAAATGAAGTTATCCAGAGAAAAAGCAGAATAAGGAACAGAAAGCCTAGGTATACAAACATCTAATGGGCTAAAAGGATAAGTGAAACATAGGAAAATTAAAAGAAAGTACTTAAAAAATAGATTTTTTTATATTTGGGGGCAGGAGGTAGGGGTAATGATAGCAGAGAGTGGTATCAAGAAAGTAAGGAAAAAAGCTGCAAAATGGAAAGGAACAGTTAATGTCAGATGTTTCCAGAAGATCAAATATGAACAAAAAAAGGTATTTTAAATATGTCTGTGATAATAGCTTCAGTGAAACATCATAATAGAAAACAACTAGACAATTGAGAAATGAATGAAGAGGACCAGAGAGATCAACTCCTCTTAGAGAAATGTGAGAAGAGACAATATAAATTCAGGCAATGGGATTAGGCATCTAGAAGAGAAGTACTATGCAACTAATTTCTCTACAGCTTCAACGCTCTTCCAAAGAACGCCATCCTCTTTTGGAGGGAACAGCTTCCACCACATTGTAACCATGTGGTCTGAGTGAACAACAAACATCTTACACAATCCAGGTAAAAATAACTGACACAAGGGCAATTATTTGATGAAATCAAGCCAATTCTAATCCATGGAAATTATTTTGAGTAAAATATGGAGTCCCCTGCCACCTGGAGAAAAGTGATTTTCAGTAGAAAAGAATAAAACTGATACAGAGAGGAGCATAACACCAGAGAATAGGAACAGATCCTATGTGTTTCCTGTCCCTGGGAATTTCTCAGTGCTACTCCCATTCATCTTCCTGACACTCAGTTATTTAGCTTCCCTTAATTCTGCTAGTTACCCCATCATCCTTCCAAACTATATGTTCTTTCTAAAACTAGTTTGAGTTTTAGCCTCTGAGAGTTTGGATTGATACATACCTCTTTGAATGAAGCATTAGTAACTGAGGTGATAAATAAAAAGTTTAAATACAATTAAAAAAAGGAAGTAAAAAATTAATGGACTTCTCACCTGACAGTCTTCCTAGTTCTAGCAAAGTAGAACCTGAGGTGTTCTAATGACAGCAAGGGAGAATGGGCTGAGATGTGGTAGAAGTTTAGAACCTCTACTGAGGGCAATGGGAGGGAGGAGGTGACCAGGGTTATGGAGAATGGCTCTCTGTAACGTTTAAACTGAAAACCATGAATATGTACTGTCATTCATATGATTCGCCAAGAATTTTTTAGAAGTAGAAGCATGATAGACTGAACTAGAGCTGGGAGTGTTGCAAGTAGGTATAGTAAAATGACTAGTGAGAGACGGTTAAGAAGTGGGCAGCAAGACACCAAAGGGTACTAGCAAAAGGGTAATGGATCATGGGGTCTAAGCTGGAGCCAGGGAAATAAAAACATAACTAAAATAAACAAGAATAAAATGAAACCAATCATAGTTTAGAGAGGAGCTAAGGAGGAAAAAAAGTAAAGATTAAGGTAAAGTCAGAGGGCAAAAACATGGAAATTAGTGAGAAGTGGAATATAAATTAACTGTCAGATTATGGAATATTCCAGAGGTAAGATAGTTCTAGAGAGCAACGAGGTCAAGGGTCTAACCACAGTGGGTTACTGAAGTGCAGGTAAAAATGTCTAGAGCTGAGAAGGTTGAATAATTTTAAGTTACCCAAGATATCAGTAGTATACAAGTATTTCAAAACATGAGAGAAGAGTATGAGCAGAGACTCCCCCCACCCCCCAAAAACCCAGGATTTATTTATAAAAAATTTACACAATTTTTTGTATCTATTCTTATATGTTGAAATCAGTCACCTTCAAAGTCCTCTCCATTTGATACAATACACCTATCGAGACATTTTTTCCTCTGCTCTAAAGTTTTTGATCTCATTGATTTTGAGGCCTTGTTTCACCTCTTCCACACTGGCAAAACATTTCCCTTTGCAGATTTTTTTTTTTTTTTTTTAATCCCAGGAAACAAAAAAAGTCTCTGGGGCAAGATCCAGTGAATAGTAAGGGTGGGGCACGGGGGTCATGCTGTTTTTGGTCAAAAACTGGCAAACACTCAGCACAACGTGGTCAGCTGCATTCATAAATCATCCATCGTGAAACGGACAAATGTGCTGAAAGAGTCTTCAAAAGAATTTCACTGAAGCTGAACACAGCCTCTCACAAAAATGCCAGCTGGTATACTGATAGGTTCCTAGAACACTCACCAGCAGGAGAAGCCTGTACTACAAGGGGCCCACCAACCAGAAGGTAATTTCGAGGTTTTCTGAGGGGTCTTCCCATGTAGACAAAAGACAGTAAAATTTGTCACAGAAGTATTTCTATACAATAAAGAATTCAAACAGCAAAAAGGTTCCTCAAAAATTCAAGAAAAGGTAGGACTTGGCAAGCCACTTCTCAAGTTTGAGACAACTGGTTAAATTCTTTCTCTGAACCATCTCACTTAAAGTCAAATAGCAAATTTTGCAGTGATAGAAACGGGAGTGTCTACAAGTATGAGGTCTATATTGTTTTCGTTCTGTCCTTCAAGGCATCCAGTCTTTACAACATCCTACCCCGCAAATAAACAAAAACAGTATTATCCTGAGAAACAATCAGAGGACAAACTTTAAAACGATCCAAGCAGCTAACAAAGCATTAAAAAAGGCAATATGAAAACTACAGGCATTGTCCCACTATCATTAAATAATTTTTCACTTGAAAAGTGACTGAATATAAGCACTTCGTACCTAAGTCCTTAAAGCTGAAAATGAGCCATTACTCACTGTCTTAACAGCTGTCTGCCTTGCTTCCACGTTAACTGGCTATTCTGAGGCGCTGTGGGAGCCTCTGTGTCTTTGGTTTCTTCTAAAAATTAACAACAAAAAAAGACAAGTTTCATACACATTATTTCAACTATTGAAAATACTGCCAAAGTTTTCTAAGGGGTAAAGTCTCACAAAAATACACCTAAATATTTTATAAAGGGCAGAAGAAAATTAACCTTTAATGAGTTATTTACTGTGGACCACACTCATTTCAAATGTGTTTGTTCCAATAATTCAAACACTTAGGTACTACCCTTCTTGTTTTAAAATTGGGAAAAGTTAAGTGTACACTAACTACAACTATCAGGGATTCAAAAATCAAAAGCCCAGGCTTTGAAATACAGTATTTGTAATTATTTTTTTAACCACCAGAATTATGATGAGTTGAATGCTTCTGAAATTAAAAGGCTATACTTAGTATTTACATTAGCTATTCAAAACCAACACTGTGAAGAAATTAGGTATTTAAACAATTAGGTATATATAATAACTTAGTTTTGATTTGATATCAGTAGATTCTAAGTCTGTATCACACAACTTTATATACTCAATTTCATTTTAAGAACCTAAAAGTTAAACCAGAAAACAGTTTTTACTACAGGTAAAAATCATTTTTTTATTCTCATGTAACAAAGTATATGTATTTAAAAAGTTTAATGAACAGTATAATTTCAGGTCAGTTAAGCTCTGAGTAAGTATCCTTAGATTTATACCATTTTGTTTATTTTTAAGTCACATATAACATAATATTGCAGATAAAATACATTAAAAAATACAACTGCCCAAAATCCTATCACCAAAAGTCGATAATTAAGACTTTATCATTCCATATTTTCCATCTGAAAATAAACAAACTTGTTCCCTCCTTAAAAGGAGGGCAATATATGTATGTATTGCACTATAAGCTGCTTTTGTCACTTAATGTATCTTGAACATTCTCTCTATGGCAATAAATATAGATTAACATTTTATAAAATTATTACATAATATTCCATAGAAAGTATATACCTATTTAATTTAACCAGTCCCCTAATGTTGAAATTAGTTTCCATTATTCACTATTATAAATAATGCTGCTAAGGATATCCTTGAAGTACATCGTAAGCGTACAGCTCAATGAATTTTTGAACACTCATGTAACCAGTACCTAAATGAAGAAACAAAACATTGTCAGCATCCCAAATGTTTTCCTTTGCCCTCTTCAGTCACTAGAAACTTCCGTAACATCAATACGATCCTGAATTCTAAAAGCTAGATTAAATTTTTAATTTACTAACATTAAATCAACTATATTAATGTTCAATTTTATGTGTATGTGACTCATCCATGTTGTCAGGTCTATTTAGTTTGTTAATAACTTTTGTTGCTAAACAACATTCTGCTATGCTAAAATATCACATTTATGCATTCTAATGCTGAAGAATGTCCAAGTTGTTCTAGTTTTTTACTACTGAAAATAATGATAACATGAATATTCTTAAAGAAGCCTATGATGAACATATGTATGCATTTTAGAAAGTGAGAACCTAGGAATGGAATTAGTGGTTCATAGGATATGCTATGTTCCCTTTAGTAATACCACAGACAAATCACTTTCGGAGTTCTATCAATTTACAATCCCAACACCAGTAGGTCTGTGGTTCCAGACCTACTTTAGTTCTGGTTGTTCCAGATCTGCATCAATACTTGACTTTCTCTTTTTATTTTAGCCATTCTGTTAGGTACCTAACTATACCGCACTGTGGTTTTAAGCTATACTTCTTCAATGACTGATAAAATTGAGCATCATTTCATGTGCTTCTTGGCCATTTGGAAATACTACTTTAACGGGTGCCTTAAGTTGTTTGCCCATTTTTCTACTGTTACACTTTTAAAATCTAAATATAAGCATATAGGAGTGATTTACATAGTGACGCACAACCCCTTCTGTAGGGTTAGGCTTCCATTATGTATATTGGCATTACTGAGACAGGGGTATAAAAAAATGCGTATCTTGTACTTCTACCAAATCAGTATTTTGCGTATCTTCTCTTATTTTACATTTTGCTTTATTTTGGGCATATAAAAGTCAATACTGATCCAGTTAATGTTTATACTTTGCTGTTAATGATTTTATCCCACTTTGTCTGCGTGGTGTATTTCTGACCATCCCTTGGTTTGTCTTCTTCCCAACAATCTACATTGTTATTATTGTGTCTCCTATAAATAAAATACTTGGATGTTATTTTATTCCTCAATCTTAGGAATTTTTAATAGTTAGGTTTAAAACAAGTTTAAAAACAAGTCTGCTTTTATCCGACTCCAGTTGTGCACAGGAGAGGTTTAGCTGCTAAATGATTTTGCTTTATACCCACTGCTGCACTAAGACCAAGCAAGCCAATTCTGCCTCTGGTTCCAGGAGCAATGTGGCCGCAACTAGCTTCCTTCCTCACATTTCACAGACTAAGTTGGAGGACAGCCCTGGAGTACTAGAAAATGACTGCTTATTTCCTGAATATACTAGCTATCTTAGAAACTGCAGAAAAACCCAAAATAAACTAACTGCAGGTTACATGTATGAAGTGTTTCTGTGCCTAGTTCTAAGTACTTAATATCAAACTAGATTTGTAAAATTTACTTTAATACCTAACTAAAAAAAAAAATTCCATACATTAATTTTACTGTCTCTACCATACATGCTTTTGACATTTAGATATGGAGACATTTAGAAGACAAGTTATGTATCCAAAAAGACATCATTTTCTTGTCTTAGTCACCAACATCCAATAACAGCATAAAATTCAGTTTGTACTGTCAAAATGTATATAGAAATGGGTTCTAAATATACCTGAGAAATTGCTAGTAATATTTCCAAATACTCTATACTATAAATCAAAGTAACTTATTAGACTTTTAGACTACTCTAATTATAATCATATAAAACCCTAAAATTAACATTATACTAGCTCTTTCCTATATCCAGCCCTCCCTTCCCTGAATAATTGTTCATCCGATGCCTCTGAGACTCACTATTCACTGTTTAGAAAAGACATAAGGTCGATTGGAGATAATTTTTTCTTTTCTTATCCTTATTCGGCTTTCTCTGCAGTTTCTAAATTGAATCAAATTTCCAATTTCTTTAGAACTAAACTGAGTTAATCACAGCTTCTAGAGACAAAAAGAAGCTTTTAATAAAAAACTAAGTTTATGTCCGGTAGGACAGGAACTGCCTACAGGGGGAGAAAGACTTACTAGTTCATTACCTTCTACTTCTAGTTACTACCAAAAAATACACCCTCAGTTTTTACATAGGATTCAGAACAACAAAACTAGGACAAATAACCTCAGAATTGAGATGCAGATGAAACTACTTACTTTTATTAATTTATTATTTTCCCCAAAATTTTACACAGTAGTACAACTGTCAATCATTTGACTAACCAATGTTTTCAAAGGAAAATAGGAGGAAAGAGAACATGTCTGTTAAATAAAAATATGCTTAAAGCAATTATTCTTGGGAAAGGGTGGGGATGGTGTGTAGACAGAAGACTAGAGTTTACCTGATTCAAAGGTTGGCATTTTCAAATCACCTTGGTTCAGTTCGGTGCCATATTTTAATTTGTGATATTTTGCCCTGAAAATTTAATAATAAATTGTTTAAAGAAAATGTTTTTTTTCCTTCTGCAGTTAAGTAACTACTGGTAGATTTTGCCAACAACAAATAAAACAATATGAACATGTTTCTTCAACTTAACTTGCAAAGGAAGTTGGAGGAAAAAATTTACTGCTATAAAAGGAAAAACAAAAGGTAAATTACTCAACTAACATACATACCCAAGTAAAAATAAAAACCTGGATCTTTTAAAAAAAATGCTGAAACTTAGAGTCTATAAAACAAAAGGTATTTCAATGTAAAGATTTTAACCTTTTTTTCTTTTATAACTCTCAAATCAAAATATCATCTATTTTAGGCAATTTTATATCTTTCAAAAACCTTGTATAATGATATAAAAGAGATGAATAATGTTCTAATTTATTTCATTCATGTAATAAAATGAGACACACATACCTTTCTTGTTTTAATGCGTACTCTAACATCTTTATTCTTCTTACTAAATCCTTCTTCAAGTTTTCTTGACCTTTTCTTTCTCCTTGCAAAAATGCTATTCGGGCCTAAAAATATAAATGGTCAATTTATTTTCATTTTTTCTTAACTATACACAGGAAAATAAAAGGAAGACAAGTTAACTTCTGCACTTTTATTCATGACAGCAAGACTTAAAATTCATAGAAGTAGTCAAACTTTGTTATATAACACAATCGCTTTAAAAATAAAGATACTACAAATTAACTACGTGCTTATAATCCTTAGTCACTAATACTAGTAATTTTACAGGATCCTGAAAGAAATGTTTTTGGCTATTACGAGTACTGCTATTATGAATCCTTAGTCACTAATACTAGTAATTTTACAGAATCCTGAAAGAAATGTTTTTGGCTATTATGAGTATTATAGATTATGAGTAATCTATAAACACATGTATACACTTTTTCTGTAAATGTATATTTTCATTTTTGGGGGGTATACATACCAAAGACTCAAAGACCCATGCTGGGTCATATGGTAACTCTACATTTCCTTTTCTAAAGAACAAACTGTTTTCCAAGATGGCTGTGCCATTTTACATTCCTTTCAGCCATGCATGAGAATTTCAACTTCTCCATATCCCCACCAACACTTGTTATTGTCTTTTCTTTTTATTATTATTAAAGTCATCCCAGTGGATGAGAAGTGGTATGTCATGGTTTTGATCTGCATTCCCCTGTTTTTTAAAAATGATTTTATTTATTTTTAGAGGTGGGGAGGGAGAGAGGGAGAGAAACATCAATGTGTGGCTGCCTCTCGCAGGCCCCTTACTGGGAACTTGGTCTGCAACCCAGGTATGTGCCCCAACTAGGGATCAAACTGGTGACACTTTGGATCACAGGCATGTGTTCAATCCACTGAGCCAAACACCAGCCACGGCTTAACGGTATCTAATTCCTGACGTGTACGTCACAAAAAACTAAAAATAACATTATATTCATAAGTAGGTATTTTTCCCAAATGAGATATTGTTCCAAAAACCAGTAATAAATGCCCACTGTCATCAAATAAGTTCTCTATTATCCTTTTTAAAAAATCATGTAAAATCACTCACAACTTTGTAACACCTTAGAAATTATAGATAGATACACAACACTTCAACTATGTAACACTCCTAATTACAAGTTTTTAAGTACAAATAAAGGTCTAGGAGGAATGGTAAAAATTCAGAACCTAATACAGGGCGGGACAAAAGCAGGTTTATAGTTGTTTTTCACATGGAAAAATAATACAATAATTAATAAATAAATACACGAATAAACTGTTCCACATATTCACAACTGTAAACCTACTTTTGCCCCACCCCGTAGTCTAAGATCCTAAAGAAAAAAGTAGCATCTATGACTCTCTTAAGTTATGGGGGGCAAAGGCAAAATATGTCAGTATCACACCTCGATATGTCACTTTCAGCTTTAAGAAATTGAGTTTTTCTATAGTATCAGTCACATACTATAGAACCATAACATGACTCCAATTTTCAGATCTCATAAGAACTCTACAATTAGCCATGTAAAAAGATAAAAGAAACTCATTTTATTGTTTCATAAGTAGTAGTAATTGATTTTTCTGATTGAGAAAGGCATTGCAAACTAAGTGAAACTTACAATGTACTGTAAGGGATTACAAAGAAAATATTACAAAATGGTAATACGTCCTATTAGAATCTTCTACCGTTGTGACAATTTGTTCTCACTTTTCTTTGCCATTTTCATATTTAAAAACATCCATACATAATCTAGTAAATTAAAAAAACAAGCACAAACCACACACACACACACACAAATGGAAAATCTCATAGCAACTTCTAAACAGAATCTGAAGGGAGATGATTCAAAGACACAGGACAAAGATGAGATTTTATTAAAACAAAACCTTTACCAAAAGTAACTGGAGAGGGTTGTAAAAAGCAGATGACAGGTAAGTCATAAGTACTAGAACTGACCTTTTGACCTTTTATTTACCAAGTATCTAGACAGATACTTAGTCAAAAAAAGGTAAAGGAAAAGTCTGAGAGTAGTAATAAAGACCAATTAAATATAAGAGATTTGGCATTTGGTAAAAGCATCACTGACAATGAACTTTTCAACTATTTTTACAGGTCATAAAGCACCACTAATAGAATCATCTCTGCAAATACTTTAAAAACTAACCTCAAAAAATATCTTTAAAATGGCATCAAAAACCAGAAATATGTAAGAATAAACCAATAAAGATGCACAAGATCTCTGCATGAAAAACTTAAAACTTTGAGACATAAAAAGATAATCTAAATGCACAAGCAGACTCCCTACTGAGAAACACCAATTTTCATACAAACTAACCAAGACAGTTAATGTAATTCCAATTAGAAACTCCGAGAAAGAGAGAGAGAGAGAGAGAGAGAAAGAGAGTGTGTGTGTGTCAGAGAGAGACAGAGACAGAGAGACAGAGACAAAGAGAGAGAGAACCTTGACAAGATGATTTTAAAATTTACAAAGAAAATAAAATTGCCAATCACAAGCAATACTACTGTAAAGGGTGAGGTGGTAGAACTTGTCCAGTCATCAGAATGCATTATTATAAAGCTATAAAAACTAAGATGGTGACTGGTGCAGGGAAAGACAAATAGATCAAAGATACAAAAAAAACAAAGCCCAGAAACAAACCAACGCACAGAAGGTCACATGATTTATGAAAGGTAGAAAGTTTTAGAACACTGAGGAAAGAATGGTTATTCCAAAAAATGGTGCTCACACATCATTCCCAGGAGGATTATAGATCTAAATGTTAAGGCAGAACAATAATGCTTTTAAGATGTAACATGTTATCTTCATAGTCTCAGATTAAGAAAAGAATTCATGAAGACAAAAGCATTAACCATAAAAAAAGGATGGATAAATTCATCACTAAAAAAACTTCTGTTCAAGCTAAAAGCAGGGATTGGCAACCTACCACAGGCTTGTTTTTGGAGTGCCCAGAAAAAAAACTGCTTAAAAAATAAACAACAAACAAAAGAAGAATAAACCACACGTACCCAATGTGGCCTGCAGGGCCCAGTATATTAACAATTCAAGTTTGCAAACTTCCTATACCAGTATTAGACAAAAACAGACTTTAACCAAAAGGTTGTAAGACATAAAGACATTACATATTAATAAAACATTCAAAACAGCAAGATTTAACAATTATAAAGAGCCATATACCTAATGCAATCAAAACTGACAGAATTAAAGAGAGAAATAGACAGTTCCACAGTAATAGCTGGAGATTTCAATACCCTAGTCTTAATAACTAATAAATGAAACAGACAGAATATAAGGAAATAGAGGACTTGACCAATGTAGTAAATTAACTAGATCTAATACCCATAGAACTGTCTACCCAACAACAACAATATATTCTTCTCAAGTTCACATGGATATGAGGTCGCAAATTAAGTCTTAATGGATTTAAACAGATGTATCTTTAAAAAACAAAACAAAATTCTTCTGACCAAATAGATGAAATTCAGAAATCAGTAACAAAAACAAAGCCAAAAAGGACACAAATTTGTGAAAATTAAATAGCACATTCTTAAATCACCAATGGAACAAAGAAATCACAAGGAAAACTGGACAAAAACGAAAACAAAACACAACATGAAAATTTGTAAGACACAGCAAAAGCAGTGCTGAGGGGAAATTTTATAGTTATAAAAGCTTACATTAAAAAAAAAAAAACATTGAAAAGAGCCCTGGCTGGGTAGCTCTGTTGGTTAAAGTGTCGTCCCTGATATGCCAGGGTGTGAGTTTGATCTCCAGTCAGGGCACGTACAAGAAGCAACCAATAAATGTTTAAATAAGTAGAAAAACAGATCAATCTCTCTGTTTCTTTCTCCTTCCCTTCCTCTAAAATCAATAACTTAAAAAATTATTTTTAAAATAATCTCAAATCAATAAAATACTTTGCAACTTAAGGAAAAAGAACTCAGTAGAAGAAAAGAAATACTTAAGATTAAAACAGATAAATAAAATGGAGGATGAAAAACAGAAAATAATATTAAAAGACTTAATATCAATCCTTCTAAAACATTTCCAAAATCTGAAGAGTGAACACTCCTTAACTCAATGAGGCTAGCATTGCCCCAATACCAAAGCCAGATAACAACACTACAAGAAAACTACAAACCAAATATCCGTTACAAACATTGATGCAAAAATCCTCAACAAAATGCTAATAAATCAAACTCAGCAGCACGTAACAAATATTACACATCATGACCAGGTGAGATTTATTCCTGGAATGCAAGGAAAATTCAATGTAAGAAAATCAATCAATACCCTATACTACATTAAAAGAGTAAAGGAAGAAAAACCACAGGAGCATTTCAAATGATGCAGAAAAAGAATTTGACAAAATTCAATACCCTTTCATGATAAAAGGCACTCAACAAACTAGAAATAGAAGGAAATTATCTCAACATGATAAAAACATATATGAAAACCTACAACAAACATCATACTGAATAGTGAAAGACTGAAAGCTTTGCCTCTGACATCAGAAGAGAACAAGGACGCCTACCTTCAACACCCCTATTTAGCATAACAGAAATACTAGCCAGAGCAATGAGACAAGAAAAAGAAATGAGAAGAATCCAAATTAAAAAGAAGTAAAATTATCTTTGTTAACATATGCTTGTATGTTCAAACCCCATAGATTCCATAAAAACCTGCTAGGACTAACAAATTCAGCAAAGTACCAAGATACAGTCAACACACAAAATTTAGCAGCATTTCTGCCCTGGCAGCATGGCTCAGTTAGTAGGAACATCATTCCATGCACCAAAGAGCTGCCAGTTCGATCCCCAGTTAGGGCGTGTTCAAGAGGCAAGCAGCTGATGTGTCTCTCTCACATCTATGTTTCTCTCTGTCTCTACCCCACTTCTCTCTCTAAAATCAATGGAAAAATGTCCCCAGGTAAGGGTAAAAGAAAAAAAATCTACAGCATTTCTATATACTATCAATGAAAAATCATAAAAGGGAATAATAAAAGCAATTCCATTTACTGT